TTTAACAAAAACTTAAACGCCGAAATAGGACATTTTTAATCATAATAATATAATTTAATGACTTTTTGAAGTTCGGCCAATATTGTGTTCCCTTATTCGTTTATATTACTTGCGAGTTGTGCATATAACAGTGTAGGAGCTGTAAGTCTATCGCGTTGGCCGTTTCGATTAATGCGCTGAAGGAGTTGAGTAAAATTAATTTTAAAAATACATTTCTCGTATCTTCAATTTTTTTGGGTTTTTTTTTATACCATTACTATTACGTGACGCGTAATTTAAAAGAATAAAGTTGTAAAAAAAAAACCGTAAAAATAACATGTACCTAAAATATTATTATGCATTACTTATTAGTTCAAATATACTTCTTATATTGTGTCTTATGTCAACAACAAATTAAGCTTTCACGCGACGTTACCGTTGTCCTTATATAAATATAATAAAATATTTGATTAAATGTTGATACACACTAGGTAACGATAAATACCTTGGCTACTTGGCTTAGATTTTATTATGATAAACATGTGTACAACACATTCTATTCTCGACTCTTGTAACACAAGAATGGTCGCTGTGCATTTTAATTCTAAAATTCTTTCTCAACAACCTCGTGACCTCGTAACGAGTGCATATTTTTCGATTATATTACACTATAATACAATGTAATACGCTTTGTCGTCTCCTACGACAGTCGATTCGATTAACTAATGTACTACTACACTCGGTATAGGTATAATAATATGCACGTATAATATAGTATAATAATATACTTTAATATGATTTCTATGCGTTTCGTGTTTTACCACAATCAATATTGTGTGTAGCAACGCCGCCCTCTGGGCAGTTACAAATTGATAATGTCTAGCAAAAACTAATGGGTTCTAACGTACATTGTCGAATCACAAAAAAATAAAACCTTCCACCAGAGCAAGCCGTCCCCAATTAATATGGGATGCACAATAAAATCAAGACGACAAAACAAAATGCGAGTAATTAAACGGACTCGTTGCGTTAATTGATGTTCGGATACAAGTACAATAGTGCATTGTTTGTGCCGTTCTTCCTTTGGCCCTCACGTGAATTAATCCAATATGCTTATTATGAATTTACCATATTATAATAGGATGCAATTATTATTATTATTGTATTATCATTCAATTACTCGTGGGCCGGGGTGGACCGGCGCATTGCCAATCCTGTTCTACTGTACAGTGTACAACCCTTCGCCGCATGTCCTCTTGGTTTACGGTGATTTCTTTTCTCTAAATTGTTCATATTGTGTTAAATAATATAATAAGGGTAACTAAGCACGGTGTGTTAGGGAGAGGAGGGCAACACGAATACCGTTAGATGTTTGTTTGTTTAACTGTGTGTGGAGACCAAAACCAAACAAACGAGTAGTTTTTTCGCCGAATGACAAAAATAATACATAATTTTAAATCGTAATTTTTTACACACGTATACTATGAGGTCCGTTGAATGTCCATTAAAGTATTCACGGACAATCTCTGTAGAAGATATGTATTTAATGCCATATGAATGATATCACACGTCCAAATTTTTCGTTCGGCATATATTTTAGTAATTACGGTTATTGGGTTCAACTGACGTCGGTGTGTGTGTTTACCTGAGTAATGGCTTTTTTTACGGTGTCGAGTACCTACCTAGTAATTGAAATTAGTCTGACTGGTGGCCTGGTCGGCCGGTGATGTGATGTAAGTGGCGCTTGAATAATAACTTTCCACCCCATATAGTCAACGCAGTCGTGTCATGTCGAGACCACTATTATAATATATGTCTATTTATCAGATACTGATGGAAGGGGGCGGGGGGCATACACACACACACAAACCAGACAAGGTAATTACATTATGCGGTCCTATAGGCCTATACACACGGGGGTAGTAGGTACACCACAACGCGATGACTACGATAATAATAAGTAATAATGATAATAATGTTTTACATGTCGTTATATAACGTTATCATGAGGGGGAAAAAATAAAATATTCGAGACGGCAGACGCGCACACACACACTTGACGATGGTATCTCGACGCAACACATGTGTACGTCGGTTTGTATCTGATTGACGGGCCTCGGAAAAAAAGGGATATACGACAACTGCGAGGTGTCTGTAATGGGGTTGTAGGTGCAAGGTTATATTATAATAATGATATTATATAATATATGTATGTATAAAGTGCCACAAGACGTGTATGTACGTGTTAGGTTAGGTTAGGTATATAAGGGAGCGGTCCTGTAAGGGAGGACGTCTTATAATTTAGAATTATGTAAGATTTGAGGTTTCTTTAATAACCGGACGAGCGGAAAGATAAATAATTTTAAATTGATATTACTATATTAGATCTATTGGATATATTATATTGTACAAGGAAAACCAATTATAAACCCATTAATATACACTAATTCAGCTGATAAGATAATCCTTTACTAATCCACCGGTCTATGGCGTTTCCCTGGCGCGACAATGCCTTTTATTGAATATAATAACATTTACATAGATTTAGTAGTTGCCCGATATCCGGCAACATCAATCATAATATTATTGTACACCGACTCTGATAAGGCCTTCGAGTAAAAGGTCGTGGGTTAATCAAATATATTTGAAAATTTCAATTTAATATATGTTGTCTAGAAAATATACCATATTTCAAAAATATGGAAACGTCCGTATAACGTGCACTAAATTAAGTACTCAATACCTATCTAATACCTATCTCTATTAGATATCTCGTTGTTTTAATATTAATGGATAAATAAAAACAAACAAATCATATTATTAAATATTTCTGATTGTATAATATACTCGACGCCGTGCAGTTATCGTTTGCCTTAGAATTTCAACGATATGATCAATAAATCATTTCCAATACCAACAAAGATCAACGCAGTAGACCGTCGTGTTTGCTCAAATACACGCCTTAAGACGAAACCAGAAAACTTATTTCGAAATATATTTTGGTTTTTAAATTAGGTATAGGTACGCGTTGCAATGTACCCGAGTATTGTGCAGATGTACTGTTATCGTGGGCCGGCGACACGTTCGCCATAAATACCTACTATAATAATATTTTATTGTACACATATTAGTATAGAGTATACTTTTTTGTTCTTCTGGTGGTCTTTTGTAAAGCAAACATATTACGCGTGTACATCACGTCCCGGAAGGCAGGGAAATCGATTTCACGCGGTTTTTTCAATCGTCCTGTACAGTTGCCTTTCGGTCCCAAAAAAACGGTATTTACGAAAGTACCTAACCGGCGGCAGACCGTAAGACAATTACACACAAAGTCTGTGTGACAAGAATAATATATAGAAACAAGCCGCCTGTAATACGGTTGGTAAAACACACACACAATACTCGAAGGTTTTGCTTTTTTAAACGTCGGGTGTTGTTTCAAGTAGTAAAATTCGACTTATCCCTGTGCTGAACGGCGCACACGGAACGCAGGGTACTACCCGTATAACAGTAGCCCAGTTCATAAAATATATTATATAATAAGTACCGTCCAAAGGGGAACTGCGGCTACAGCGAATAGCAGTATAATAGTCGTGTTGTAATGGGACCACCTTAAAAAAATGGATATATATGGGTCCTTTTTGGAAAAATATTACATATTATATTTTTTTACGATCAGAGACTGCCGTAAAAAAATAGGAACGCGTGTGGTTGCTTTGTATAGCGCATGTGGGATTGGGACGTTTAAAAAAATTAAGAAAACCCTTTGAATTACACTAGAGTTCGAGCTAATCGTAAAATTAAAAAAATCGAGATTATATCATGAGCATATACGGCCTTACCCGCAGTAGGTATTATTTTAGACAATACAGAAGCGCGTGGGCGCGAGCAATATAATAAAATAATAAAAACTTTACGTATCATAAAAAACTCGGACGACTTAATCAGAACCCTATAATAATATATAATATTATTATACTTCTATTCGGCGAGGTCGCTTAATAAAAACGTTTACCCTTTAAAAATACCTTTTGTTATGATTTACAGCTCGGTTGTATACTTTGATTACTTTACTTCAAACTTTACTAGCCGTTTTGGGCGACGGGCTCGTTTTCAAAAGCGTGCACATTTAACTAAATCAATATTGCTAAAGACTTTATATTATCAGTTATTCAGAGACGACTAGACGACTGACAGTTTTTGAAATTTGTATGCGCCATTTTATTATTTTAACTAAAGCGAAAACTGCGGATGAATTTGTTCGAATGTAAAAAAATAATTGGCACAATGCAAATTTAACCTTGTAGTTGGGCTTTTAATTTTCATTGCGTCAATACGAGCGTGCCAAGTACATAACAATTGAGCGCATATATTTATATCTAATATGGATTATACCTACTATTATATAAACAAGGTTTGGAAGACACGCGGCTTGAGACAACGCAGACGGTTTGTTTATCAAACTCACTCGAACGGTCTCTAAGTCTGTGGAAATTCAACCGACAGTCAATGTTTATATATATTGTTTAAACTCAATTGCCAGATACAGTACAGTGTCTTCGGCAGTGGGGTCGTAAAAATATAAATATTGAAGATGAGAGCTCTGCTAACCGCTCCTAATCGTTATAATGGCCGTATATTTATTAACGGCCAGGCTGGGAGAGCTTGATAAGGTCTCTCGTTCGTCTGGTCTCGTTTGGTGAGTGCTTGGACGACACGGTAGAGGAGACAACAATACTAATAATTGAGTGTATGGACCGACGGCTATGTGAATTGAGATAAAAGGGACGGACGGAAGAAACCAATCTGACCGCGAGGCTGCCACTTGAATACCTAATGGATGCGTCTTAAATTTAGAGTGTGTCTTATATACGCTGCATAGGTAATAAGACCGGCTCTATTATTATAATATTGTAACAAAATAATATCACTTATCACTGTTGCACAACATGCACATTATATTTTGTTAACTCTATGCGAAAATAAAATTAAGACGTCTTATTTGTTTGTTTGGTTTTTAGAAAAATGATTACATTTCCGTCAAATATGTTGCCAACGACCATCGTGTTATTTTTGTTGGCCAGTGGGTTGTGTCTGCCGACACGTCCAAGAAATTTTATCCTAGAAGGTACAGTAACATTTATTTTTATTTAAAAATGCCCATTTGACTCGAAACTATTTAGCATCTACCTAAACAACATTTTATAACATTAGAATAAATTATGGTGGTTGTATTAGCTATACCGACGCGACTACCGAACCATTGATTGGCGATACTCACAGATTAGTTGAAAAAATTGGACATAGTAAATTATAATTTCATATGTACATATGATTTTAAAAAATTGTAGGATTAGATCTTTATCGATAAAGTTGTGATATTTATTGAAATAACCGAAAACAAATTTGAAAACTTGACCACCTATTGACTATATCAACTACTAGGGTTAAATTTAATATTTTTAACTTGGGAAAATAAAACAATATATATATATATAATATATATATAATATGTACAGCGGAAATGAATTGCACACCCAACAAGTCGCGCTGCATTTGAATGGACAAAAAAAAAGGCTGTTTATTAGTCACAGTAGTCTAAAGAAACGACGCACATGTTACATATGTATATGTTATATGATTCATTAATACCGCTACCAGAGCATGTCTTCTCTGTTAGACGCGTGTAAGAATTAAAAAAGGGTCTAATATCCACATAATATCTATACAAATTATTTTGATCTATATCTGGCGCTAACCGGTATTATTCGTTGGTGGTACAGAACAGTGTTTTATAGTTTTGCTTTATTTGGTTATTATAGTTCTAATAATTCATATTTTTATAATTGCAAATTCGCTATAATTTAGCTGTGTTTTTTTTAAACATTTTTATACTTGTTTTACAATACTCTGATTACAGCCTACAGGACCATAGCCCTTAGGTATAGTGATTTAGTTCAATTATCCAAAAGTTATTGGCGGGGGGGGGGATAATATTTGGAGTTGGTCCAGAAATGGAATTACGTGACTGTTCTATATTATTATTTTCATGGTGGTTTTTTATGGTCCGGTTTGTTTTGCTATGAGAAAACCGCGTGTGTATGTGTTTTTCAGAGGGTCGGTTGGACAGAGTTTAAAAATATGTACCTTTATTGCAGCGTGTTGGACTTGGAAATGAAATAAAAAAATATATTAGACCCTACCAGACTAGACTGTTAATAATATATACATATTTGTTGCGGTTGACATTTTTTTTTTGTTCAGACGCACGCTAAACTTGGTTGACCTCGGCGGTCCAGTCTCTCTATGATCGGGGTTCGGTTATAAATATAATATCACTGGTAGAAAAAATGTTTTTGACTGACCGGAACCCACAAAATAAAAAATAACAATTTTTAACAACATATACATATATATATCATCCACAATCTACGTACTCTTCTAAATTTTGTATAGTATTTTTCTAATAATTTACAAAGAACTCAAAATAGCCTCCCAGTCTTCTACTGGATATTTAGATGAGTATTGGTCTACTCTGCATAATAAATAGGCGATTTACGGTCATGGATAGGTTTATTATAGCATTTTTTTTTCAGACGCAAATACCGTCTTGCCTGCTGTCGAGGGGGAGCGGTTGTATGTGAAATGCGAAGCCCCCGAGTCTGTAAAAATCATCAAAGTCCAATGGGTGAAAGACTCGGACGACGAAACATTTACGGACTCGCCAAACAGAATCACCAAAAAGTCGCAATGGTAATGTTTAGAATAGTTGTGTTTTTTTTTGTATTTTAAAAACACACAAGTCATGTCATATCTTGTACAGGTTACGTTTCAAAAACGTGAAATTTGCCGACGAAGGCCAATATTCTTGTTTGATAGACGGTTCTACCGAGAATGGAGAAGATTATACAAAGTGGCACAATTTCACATTGACCGTGTCGAAAAGAGGAGCTGGTTCGGCAAGCGCTGGAAAACAACCGAAGCCCCTTCAAAGTCTTTCGCATCGAAAAGATGGTGCTAAACCGAAATTCGCCATTTTCAAACCTTACATGGACAACAATATAACGTTGTTGGCGGGCGACACTCGTGTCATAAGTTGTCCTTTTGAAAGTAAATATTTCTGATCGGTTCGAAGCGATTTCTAACTAGTTTAACAATGGTTGTCGTTTATATATAGGCACTTCTCCGGTCGAGTTTACTTGGTACAAAAACGGCGAGGTGTTAACCGAAGGGGACGTGGACGTTGCTAATTACACCTTAAATCAGGTAAACATGTCGGACGCGGGAAATTACACGTGTGTTGTGAAAAACGATTACGGTTCGATTCAACACAAGTTTAACATTGAAATATACAGTGAGTATTAGATTGATGACAGCGTACATAATATTCTACATATAATTGATAATCTATACCTCTAAAATTGAAAATCCTACGCACGTTTACAGAAGACAAGAGTAAAATTCCCATTTTAGCAGAGTACCCGCAAAACATAACTCTGAAACTAGGCGATACCGCGTGGTTCGCTTGTAAAACGTCTAGTGGTCATTCTTCAAAAATCGATTGGTACTTTTTGAATAACACAAGTCCCCAGGAAATCGAAATCGAAGATCTCCATCGCAAGATAAAGGTAAATGTCGCGATACAGTCGATAAACCATAAACTATATTTCCGTTGTGTGCAGGCAAAATCGTCCAACGGCGTGTTGATCCTCGAAGATGTAACCGAGGAAGACATAGGATGGTACGCATGCTGTACGAACGGACCTAAACCTCGAGTGCTGTCCGGGGCTAGGCTAGACATAGCCAAAGGTACGTACGTTGCCGAACCGGATGCAGCAGCGGCGGAAGCAGAAGATGGAGATTCTATGGACGGTTCAAAGAAAGCAGGATTTTACAACGGCACCGAAAAATCATTGGCTCCTCCGAAATTCACTAAATTCGAAAACATGCGCAGGATCGTGGCAAAGCCGGCCGGCAACATGTTGAAACTGAAATGCGTGGCCGAAGGTATGTTGTAAAATATGTTCAATTGCACATATTTTCTTTTATCACGAAATCCATTTTATCCGTCCAGGCAATCCTTCGCCCATCGTCACTTGGTACAAAGACGGCATCACTCCACCGCAACGCAGTCTGGGTGTGGCTAGGTACACTCGGTGGTCGATCGTGCTGGAAGATTTAATGACAACGGATTCAGGAAATTACTCGTGTAAGGTGTGCAACGAAATGGGGTGCATCGATTTCACATACAACGTAGAAGTTGTCGGTGAGTGTGTTAGATTTTTGTTTTTTATATTTTGGCCAATCATCAAAATTAAGAAATTGATTACAAATGAATCGTGCAATACAATTATACTAACCTGATACAATAAACTCTTAAACAAAAAACAGAACGATTCCCGCATAAGCCCTACATTGTAGAAGGGCAACTGCACAATACCACCGCGTTGGTTTTTACCAGCGTAACGTTTAATTGTACATTGTTCGCCGATCTCGAAGCATACATGCAATGGTTCTATCATAACGCGACCGTGGGAAGTATACACGATGGAAATTTGTATAACGGCACCGTCATACAGGTATATTGAGAATGCCAGAAATCTGGAAAACAGTTGGCATGCGCGAAGGTGGTGTTTATGTTTTTTTATGACGGTTTTTGGGCTTAATCATTATAGGTATTAGAATAATAAAGGATGTGGTTAACATAATATTAATGTCGTTGTTGGTACTCTGGTGGAATTGTGTTTGACATGTTTACTTGTTTTTATTATTTTAGAGAGGTTACACCACCGTCCAGTGTTTACCGAAGCTCCTCAAAATCTCACGCTGGTGTTGGGTGGTACAGGGGCTTTGGCGTGCAAGGTGCTCTCGGACTTGCATCCGTATATCGAATGGTATATCGGGGAAATTGTAACGGAAAATATTGAAAATTTTAATGTAACAAACATGGTGAAGGTCAAGGTACGCTTGGACAATAGGCTTACATCCTACATGACACGCTTTTTATTTTTATGCATTATCATTATTTTTGTCTATTGCGAATGTTTTTTTGGCTTTTTCATCGGGCTTGACTGTACGCTATATCTAGGTATCTGTCTAGAAAAAAACGCTTTCATTTCCCATTTGTTAACCCGTTATCGTTTATTTATTAGAACGTAGAATATCCGGAAATTTTGGAACTGACTAACGTTACACATTCAAACGAAGGATGGTACACTTGTGTAGCGGGAAATAGCCTGGGCATGAGCTACGCCAGTGCTTATCTTAAAGTGGTAGACGGTAAGAAAACAAAGAGAGAGAGAGAGAGAAAATATAGTGATAATAAAACGTATTCGTGATTTTTTAGAATTAGAAGAACCCGTCAAAGTGCAAGCTTTACAACTGTACACCTATCATATAGCATCGTTGGGAGTTGGGTTCGTGTTCGTTATTTCAGTGTGCATTGCTTTGCTGGTGTGCAGTCAGAGGAAGAGAGAAAAACTCAAAGAACTGGTGGCCAGGGAATCGGCGAGAAACGCCATGATCACTCAATGGACTAAGAAGATTATTATTGAAAAGCAGCAAATGGCCGACGCGAGTGATCCATTGGTAAGAATATACAAATTGATTTATTTCACAAACCGTGTTAATAATTCGTTTTCTCCAGTTGATGCCGGTAGTCAAGATTGAAAAACAAAAAAGCAAGTACACAAAGCTGCAGGACCAGACGTGCTTGTCGGAGTACGAGTTGCCTTTAGACCCGTGTTGGGAGTTTTCTAGAGATTATCTCATGCTTGGCAAAACTCTGGGAGAGGGTGCATTTGGAAAAGTATTGCGAGGCGAAGCCGACGGAATTCTATGTGAACATGTCACGACTACAGTGGCGGTAAAAATGTTGAAAGGTAAATTGGCTATATAAAAAAAATTAAAAAACAACTAAAATACCTAACTTATTTCCGTCCGGCCTGCGTAGACGGACATACCGACACGGAAATGATGGACTTGGTGTCCGAAATGGAAATGATGAAGATGATTGGCAAACACGTTAACATTATAAATTTGCTCGGTTGTTGCACACAAGACGGCCCGCTGTACGTACTAGTGGAATTCGCTCTGCACGGTAATTTGAGAGATTTCTTGAGACAGCATAGGCCGTCGTCCGGCTACGAACCGGCCATCGGATCCAACTTGAAAGACACGTTAACGCAAAAAGACCTAGTGTCTTTCGCGTATCAAGTGGCCAGGGGAATGGAATATTTGGCATCCAGAAAGGTAGAGAAATTGTACCTAAACCGGCTCGAGTTATTACTGACGCCGCCAATGTTTTATCCATTTCAGTGTATACACAGAGATTTAGCGGCGAGGAATGTGTTGGTCAGCGAAGATTATGTAATGAAAATCGCCGACTTCGGTCTAGCCAGAGACGTGCAGAACCAAGAATACTACAGGAAGACCACGGACGGTAGGCTTCCCGTCAAATGGATGGCCCCCGAGGCTTTGTTCCACAGGGTGTACACTACACAATCTGACGTGTGAGTACCTATTGGGGTTAATACAACTTACAGTTGTATTACAAAAGCTACTTTTCACAATCACAATATGATGATGTTTTTACAGATGGTCGTACGGAGTGTTGTTATGGGAAATCATGACACTGGGAGGTACGCCCTATCCTTCGGTGCCCAACATGGAGCAGCTCTTCAATCTATTGCAGAGCGGACACCGCATGGAGAAACCGTCTTGTTGCTCCTTAGAAATGTAAGTAGTCACGTCATTTAACTATAAATGCTTATTATAATGTATAATATGTGATTATTAGATACATGATAATGCGAGACTGTTGGAGCTATCATCCCAACGAGCGGCCAATGTTCGACGAACTGGTAGAGAGCCTGGACCAAATTCTTTCGGTAACGGCCAACCAAGAGTACGTGGACTTTGGTTTGCCCCAGCTGGACACGCCACCCACTAGTCAAGAGTCCTTCGACGAAGAGGCTTTGATGAACTTTGCAGTGTGATCGATCACAATGTGTATAGATCCGCTATCATTACTTAATTATGTCGGGGACTATTGGCAGTTAGTTTGATTTTTGTGTATTGACTGAAGTTCGAGGCGTTGTCGAACAGCCGTATCAGTATTTAATATTTATCAAAAAAAAAAAAAAAATGGTGTCTAACATAATATTGCTTCTAGTTGTTTGTACAATGTACGTTTTTGTTTTTTTATATGATCAAATTATGTTATGTATTGTTTAAGTGAAACGCGGGTCATTATTTCCTGGGAAATAATAGACGAATTATTTTTGTTAAAGATATGAGACTGAAAAATTATCGTTTTATGTATTATTATATAATATATATTATTATTATTATTACGCACCTATCAAATTTTAATAATGCAATAATAATAATGTATATATTATCTCAACAATTATTATTTTGTGTAACTTGCATTTTATTCATTTTCATGCATGTATATTTATATATATTACTACTTATTATCGTTAAAATTACATTGTATAGCTGTATAATACAGCCTGTATATATATATATATATATATATATATATATATATATATATATATATATATATTTAATTTATGAATAAAGGAGATGTCTAGTCAAGATCGTACCATATATTTTTTCAATAACACTGAAATTTTATAATATCCGAGAATATAGTGTGTTCAATGTTTTAAATAATGTATTTTCTACTTTGTAAATTGTATAGTTAAATATAATATCTTTATTTTACTATCTACAAACATATTATTTATTTGAAAAATGAGACTATATAAAATGTATTATGTGACAACTCAAACAAACGTGTAGTACTGTTATTGATTTAAAATTATTAATAAATTGACGTATCTGGAACATTGTCAAACGTTATCGATGGTGCCAAAGTCAAGCCATTTCCTAGGTTTTTTTTTTGTGTTAACCGGTTACTTAATGTATTACCATTTTCTTGTGTTAAATTAAAATTCAAGTTAAAGCAGGAAAATATTAAAATTAATTGAAAATATTTACTGAAAAGTATTTTAAGTTCTACCATTAGGTTGGTCGTGGAAGAAAAGGTATTTTTTTCTATCTACGCTCATAACTCAACCTCTAAGCTAAAATTTTTAATTTTTCTAACTATGATCCTTGATTGATTAATTACAAACCAACATCTTCAGTAAATTATTATTATGATAAAAAAATATGAAATCATTTATTTGTTACAGTACATTTATTTAGTAAATTATACAATATAATAGCTATATTACTAACTAACTGGGCAAAACTTAAAATAAAAAGCGTAATTTATATTATAAGTAGAAAAATTGTAAAAAGAAATGTATTAAGATATAATTTACAAAATTATAAAATAAGAAAAATACTAAAATTCTAATACAGATATGTTACTCTTAAAAATAAAAAGCCACGACTTAAAATAATTTACTACTTCACAGGTTGTAAATTAAGTACAATTTGTGTTTAAAAAGTACACACAATTAAAATTAAATTAAATAAAACAAAAATTAAAAATTACGTTATTTTTAATTAAGTATAATTATGTTTACAAGCATAATCAAATAAATACATATCAATATACAATTTATTTATCTTTAAGTAAATAGGAATAGGTAATTGATTACAATATGTTAAATAATCATTAATATTGTATAATTATTTATAAACTACAATTTAAATCTTTAGTACTAAAATTAACTGAGTGATGTAGTCGTAATAACGATGATAGATCAATAGCTACTATATAGTATTTATATTACTACTATACTGTTGTGCATATTAGAAATTTCCTATCTGCTTATTATGTTTATCGGTACGTTAGGAAATTTCTTCTTAGCACGGCAGTATAATAAATACATTTTTAGCTTTAACAATAAAATATAAAAAATCATAAGTTGGAAAAGTGAATAGAATACCTATGCAATTATTATATACACAATACATAATTTAAAAATATAGATAAGTACGTGAAAAAGTAAAGAATTGTCTACTTATATTTAAAGAAAATTATAAATACATTAAAAAAATTAATACATTACGAATATTACAAAATATTATTTAAATTTAGATCATATAAATAATTTTTTGATAAAATTCATAATGATATTTAAAAAATAATTTTTTAAGGGCAGTAGCACAGCTGGATTACCAGTGAAAACTAGTTATACAATTTTAAAAATAAATAATAATAATAATATAGTACAAATTAAGTAGTAATTCGATTTAAAATATAAAATACTTCTAAATGATAATAGTAACAATAATAATAGATCAACAAAAGTATAAATTTTTTTTTTTTTAAATAAAATTAAGTCAAAAACTAATATTATGTTAATAAATACTATTTATAAATAAATAAATCTAAGTTGTGTTGTGTGTGTGAAAGGTCATTTGAAGTATTTCAAATATTACAATAATTGCATAACTTTAACTGTGAGAAGTAATCTTTATGGTTTTTATTTTACACAATATTGGATATGTGAAAAAATAAAAATATTTATTTGTTGACAAATTAGGTAATTTTCAAATGTTATAATTTTTCAATATGTTTGAATTACAACGACACTACTTAGATATACGTATACTACTGTATGTTATTAAGTTATAATAATAATAATAATATGGAATTTGTCGTAATACAAAATTAAAATAAATGAATTGTCAAGCAAGCACTAAACACAAGTCTCATCATTTTCATCACTGTCCGATTTATTTGTTCTAGTAAGCGTATAACCAGATTTTTGTGATTTTTTTTGATCTTTCTTTCGTTTGCTCGAATCTGCTCTTCTCTCTTTTATAGGTGTAATCGTTTCATAAGTATGGTTCATCGGGTTTGCACTTGAGCAATCGGACACTATCACATGTGGACTACTGCAGTTTTCTTTTTCACTAATATTACGTCCACAGTCAGTCACACTATCCGAAATTCCTTCACAGCTGGCTCCACTCATTTGACTAGTGACAAACTCTTCGGTTGAATATTCCCTCGGTTGTGTATACTTGTGTTGATACTGGGATCGACCGTCTACTTCGACGTACTCGTGATCGGTTATAACACTGTCAGAGAACACGCCTCCGTTATGTTTTAGGTCTAGATGGAGATTGTTTGTTTTACCATTATGGCAAAAGTAACCGTTATCGGTGAGGTCAGGTGAAGTAAGTGGTGGACGCCGTGGTAAATTATTTTGTTTCCGTCTTTGTTTTTTGAAAAATTTTTTCGCAACAGTAATTTGATGGGGATTATAATAATCAATCTGCCGTTCGGAATTCAATTGATGCCTCATCATAACGAGCTGGAGCTGTGGTGACCTAAATGACTGGAGGGATACAACTTCACTATTCGACTTTGGTCTTACCGATTGGAAGCTATCAGTTCTGATAGATGGAGCCCTTACCGAGTCTACAACTTTTTTTCTACCCCATCGATGGTCTTTAAGTTCAGTAAGAGCGTTTTGAACATCGTTCCGAACAAAAACATAAAACCACATGATCAAAAAACATTGGAAAACGTTAAAGCACGCAAACCATACACCCAACCATAATTGTACAGTTGGACTGTACATAATGACAACATTGAAATAAGCCATTGCGACAGTCAATAAGTATCCTAACAAGGTACCATTGAAAAACCTCAATTGAAGAACCGGAGATTGTTCAGGATCTTCGACTTTACTGGACGGAGTGGTAAGGCTACGGCAGCTATTGTGTTCTACCATACTGTTGGTTTGGTCTAGTAGTTCTAAATCAGTAGCTTGAGTACCTTCAGAAAGTTGTACGTTTGAATCCAAATTGTTAGCGGCACAAGATACTAGCATACTGAGTATAATAATACAACAGATAACAACTAAAGCAACTACGACAATGAAACCAAAAGCTGGTCCAGGCTTTAAAAAACAGTAATCGCCTTCGTGGCCGCCGTAACCAGGTAAGTTCACAGCGCTAGACATACCGCACAGCAACATCGGTATGCCCCAACCAACCATGTATATACCTAGAAGTGGTTTTTTTACAACAATATCTTCATGCGGAATGTTCATACCGCCGTCATCTGATGGAGTACTGGCAGGTAAAAATGGTTTACGAACTCTTTTATACAATACTCTAAAATTTATATACCAGCTATTAATAATTAAGTGTGACAAAAAAATAGAATATACAGAAATGGTTACTTACTTTATTGTTACCGTCATCCAAAACATCGAGGCTAAACTAAAAAACTGAATTAGTAGACCAATTATTTGACATGTCCTAGCGTTTTCAGTTCGATGAATTCCATTACTAAACAAAATTGTAACGCAATTTTTAATTAATCATTATGAAGAGTTTTTTTTATACTAAAAGTTATTATCAGGATTTATCACTCAAGCATTTGTTTATTTTTTTAACACATCAATGAATCAAAATAAATTCTAAGGAAATTTATGTACACTTATTTAAAAAAAAATGTTTAAGTACTTAAAATAGTGTTATGAAACACAAATATAAGCTTAATATTTTTAAGTCATTAACTCTTATTATTAAATATATTCTTACCAGTATACTAAATAAAACATTGACATTGCAAACCACGTGTTAGGCAACGAGTGTTTTAATTTTTTAGCCATTTGTATGTTGTTGTTTAGTATTACATAAAGTACCACAGAAAATAACAAAAATGTACTCCCCATAAATGTTCCAATGTAAATTGACGTTTGACTAAATAGTGTTTTTCTTTTAATAGTGCTAAAATAAAAACAATTATTTAATAATAAGATTTGGTTTTATTTATTTCAGTTCAAACAGAATACCTGTTTATTGGCGATAACAAATTGCGTATGGAAGTCTGACTCATAGTCAGAGCAAAGTAACCAAATCTGTTACATCTGTAAACTAACATGCCACCGCCAATGTGTGCCAGTTCACAACTAGCGTTTGGATTTATATCCCACAAACCGGACAGAGGATTCCACCAAGACGGACTCGGTCTCATATTTGTAAAACGGTCATAGTTTTCTGGTTGGCGCAATGCGATAATAATTGGTTCTGGTGTAACTTCCATATCAATTCCAACTAGCTTGGAAACTAGTACACATGATTTAATTTCAGTGGGTATTAGAGTCACATTGTCATCTGCAGCCATCATTGGCTCTGGAAACATTTTGCCATCTTCGTACACAGTAAATACTAGTTTCAATTCCGATGACTGTTTTTTTGTGTCACTTGCAAATAATGAACCTGGTATCTCGATTAGCACATCAATAATCTAAAAAATGTATATATATATATTTTATATAAAATCCATGAGAAAATGTTCTATTTGCTCACTTTGTTGTGAGGAAGAGTGTGATTATTATAGACGTAACACATCAATGAATTCATTGTTGTCGGAGAATCTTCATCTCGGCCCCAAACACAAGTTAACCCACTAAAGTTTTCTTTTGATATTATAAAATCTTCCATAGCTATTGCCGATGTCTAGATTTCAATAAACATGGTAATTAAAAAATATTTTATAAATGTCTTTAGTATAATTAATAATTTACCCATCGAGAATTCAAAGTGGTTGTAAACTCTAATGCCGTTTCAAGTGCATTTACTAATCTGGAAGTCGATTTGTCATTTTTTTGAGCTGCTAACAGTAAATCTTTAGGTAGTTCAGCCATTAAGCTTATCAAATCGATAACAACTGGTGCCAACTAATAAAAATAATGTGAACATAAGTTATATCAAAATGTTTAATAAATTGAAAGGGGAAAATAATAATATAATTTACTAATTTTTCTTCACGCATAATATCCAAGTAATCATCTACTATATCAGCGATGTAACTAATATCAAGATAATCTTTAATTTCATTAAAGTGGTCTCTTGTATAATTGAATAATTGTCTGGCTGTTTCTGAACTGTCTTTATGAGTAATGTTAGTCTATGGAAATTATTTTTAAAAATAATTAATATTTACATAATGTGACAAAACATAATTTTTTATGTTGTACCAAACTTTTAAATAGTATTTTAAGTAAACAAACCTTTTTTTTATTTAAAAAAATTGTACTCAAACTAGACTTAAAGAATAAAGCTATATAATAAAAACATTGTATTTTTGTACAATAAATTTAGATGTAATAATGTAGTAGAAAATGTATTGAACACAAGATTTCTGATAGATAAACCATTCTTTGGTATTTACCCGAGGTTGATTTCTGAACCAAACTCTTTGGTACTTACTATGGTTTAATAATGTCTATAATTAAGTTTTGTTTTTGTTCGACATTCTAACAATTTATCCCATAATACTTTAATTAATTATTTATTAACACAATATTTACTTTTGACTGGGTATAAAAAATACGAGTAATTGGACTTATGTATGGACAATCTGATGAATCTGCTAAATCCCATTTTCCATTCCAGTTACAATGCCTACTAACAGTACCTCTAGCTAGTGGTTCTACTTCATCATTAGCTTGGCATTGTTTAACAGTAACCACATCTGAAATTGTACGGGTCCAAATATATGATCCTTTGTTGTCTTTACTCTCTAAAATAGCGTAAAATAATGTTTATACAAATTATAACTTAAATAGGTAAATATAAAAAAAGGTTACCGTCAACTGAACAAAATCGAGTTTTGTTTGAAATGACAGTAATCGCAATTGTTTGAATACGTATTCCACTAGTTGAATTCAGAGTACATTCATATTTGCCAGTATGATTAGCATTAAGCTTTGGAATTGAGATATTACTGGATAAATATAATAGTTGAGTGATTTTAATGGTTTTTGTCAAATAATAGCAACTAAATTTCTGTACCTTTGAATAAGTCCTGTATTTTTAAAATCACCATCAATAATAGTAATTGAACCAGAAGAATTTGATGTAATAGCATTCCACGTCAAGACAATTCCTTCTACAGCATCAGTGCCAACGGCGCGACAAAGTAAATCAATAGAATCTCCTTCAAATAAAACCTATCAAAATAAAATGAATAATTTTGATGGTTAATTGTTTAAAGGTTAAATGACATATGACATTTAAAAAGTACTTAATTGATTTTTAGAGTATAATTTACATAACATATATAAATTTCACTTACGAGATTAGAAGTTGGTATTATTTCAATTGCTGGAGGTGTATTTGATTTAGGACGTAAGCAGTTTAACATATCAGGACGTAGATTTTTAATTGGAGTATCTTTTAAACTAGGAGGTTCATGACATTCCGATTTGGGTCCAAGCTTTATTTTTCTTTTGACCCACTCAAGAAAACCAGTAATTTCACAATCGCAAACTAACGGATTATCAGAAATATCACTGTAACAATAAAAGTTTAATAAATTTGAAATTATAAAATAGTTTTTTTTTGTTAATAACTGCAATGTACTTACAGTCGTGAGAGATGATTCAAAAAATTAAAAGTATTAGCTGATATATGAGCAAGGAAATTTTTATTTAACTTCCTACAATAAGATAAAATAATTAGTTAATAATTTAATGTGTACATTAATAATTTTTATATAATATCTTACAATTGCTCTAATGAAAACAATCCTTCAAATATTCCCTGAGAAACATTTTTAAGTTTATTATCAGTCAATGTCCTAAAATAGTAAAAAAAATAGACATAAAAGTTTAAAAATATAATTTTTACAATATATTGCTAAACGCACTGACATAAATTCATTGTAAAAGAGCTAACTTACAAAATTTTAAGATTTGGTGTGCCTCGAAAAGCTCCATCTTGAATTATAGAAATCAAATTTTTAGTCAAATCACTGAAAATTAAATACAAATAATTATAAATAAATAACTATGTAAGTTAAAATTATAATTTATTGTATGCATTGTTTACATGAATGGGTTAAACTGCTTTAGCATAATCCAAATTAAGAAACTCCTAGAGTAAAAAGCATATAACACTTGTTTATCCGGTTTAGATAATTTATCTAAACTGTTAACCTATTTAGGTTAAGCTAGATTGGTTTGTGCCACACATGTAAACATAGTAACAACATAAATTCAGTTTCTTACAGTTTTTGAAGAGTCGGAACTGGGATTGCATTTGGCGGTAATGTTGCTATTACATTGACTGATAAATCCCTACAAGAATAAAATTGTGTATAATAAAATTAACAGGTTCTTAAGTATTATATATGACTAAAAATCATACAAAAATGTAACGCCTGTATTATTTGTCATTTGTTCAAATGGTATTTCATTGATATACAAAACTGGTTTATCCAATCCCCCGCATTTGACTTTGCTGAATTTGTCGCCAACACGTTTCTTTGGACAAACACATTGTTCGGGACATACAGATACATCGAATTTTTGAGCTGACACACAGGCAATCAATAATGTCCATAGACATAATTCAAGATACATGATCTCCCTTATGTATATTGCAACTACATCGCTGTATAAACCAAAAATATTACATTCTACATTTGAATTTCGTCAAAATCTCATTACTGGCTTAAATATATTTAATAGTAAAAACCGAAAAGTGTATACCTATCGTAGAAAAATATATAAGTGCATACCTATTATAGTGGATAATTACAAAATTGTTGAAAGACAAAAGTTACTTGAGGAAGTTTGTTTACATTTTTTTTCTAATTGAAAACATATACATAACCTTAAAATGGTAAAGAAAGGAAAAATGGTTAGGGTTAGGTAACTGTGGTAATAAAAAAATAATGTAAAACATGGTATCGCAATTTTGTATGGTATCCAAGATTTGAGATATCGATGGTGACACGGCAAAAGGATCTAAGCGACATATTTCATAGTTTTCAGGATGGCCACTAAACGTTTTTTTGTGATTTTTTACTATACAAAAAATAAATTGTTGTTCATATTCCAAATTTAAGATGAGAAATGTTCGTTAAAAAATGACCACAGCAGTTTTTGCGCGTGCGCAATGGACGAAATACATATTTTTTTAACCAATAGTGTAAGCCGTGTCGCTTAGACCCTTTTGCCGTGTCACCATCGATATCTAATCATATGATATCTTATCACATGTTATCACCTACCAGCAGCTGCAAAAGTCGTAAAAATAAATAACTTGTAGAAGTAATATAAGGACTTAGATTTCAGGACCTTTGGGTGGATTTATGAACTTATGGATTTAGATGGATTTACAGTCACCTTGCTTAGATCATATTATACTATGAATATGATCTAAGATAATCCATGTTATCAATTATCACTATCATCATTTGAATAAATTTATATATTTAATCATAACACAAGAATAGATTCTGTGATCATTGTACGTGATTTGTTCCGTTATATGTTAATCAGTTAATAAATAAAACGCACATTCGTATTGTGTACAATATGATATCAACAATAACATTTAGTAAAAATAATATAGCTGACTTTATGTAACGCATTTTTTTTCTTTTGTTGAATATGCATTTAAATTTTAATGCTCATACCAATTTTATTAACGTCATGATTTTTTAAAATTAAATGATTAAAAACCTATCAAATATGATAATTAATCATACCTTGATTGATGTGAATTTTTGCAAATTGTTACATTAAAATTTATAATACCAAAATAATAGAATAATGTCGAATGCTAATGTGAATGTTAACTTTGCATGTCAACGGTGTTTTGCTCCTATTCGATTAGATAGCTCGTTCAACAGTATCAGTGAACATGCCATTGCTGAATTGTCGTGTAAGATTGTAGCTCGACGATTTGTAAATAATTAAAGTTAAACTTTTTAAGAACAGTCGTATCAATATTTTTATAGTGCCAATTGTGACATGCCCAGAAGTTGATCTGGAATCGCAAGCTAAACAAGTGGACCATATTATACCTGGGTTTCATTTAAATGATTCATCAGGAGGGAATAATGGTTTCACACTTTTGGGTGAAGGAGAAACTCCAACGCTGAGCCATCAAATGAAAATAGCAGCTGGTTTATTTGACATTGTATCTGGAAACTCTCAAGTGAATCATCCTCTATGTGATGAATGTACTGATATATTAATGGATATGATGGATGAAGAACTTCAACAAGCTGAGAAAGACTATATGGATTATAATAACTATTTGAAAGAGTAATAGTTAAACTTACTATTTATTAAAAAAAAAAATAGTTAATGTAATAATTTTATTGAAGTAAAAAATTAACAATATGTAAAGGTAGTCAATTGGACATATTTTAAGAGAAACTATGTTAAACATTGAAAATGAGCTATCCAACCCTTTTTTATAAGGTTGTGATCATTCTAGTTATCTGTTTTTTATTGTAGGGTTTTCTCTAAAGAAACATTTTTAATTAAAAAAAAACCTTGGAACAATATCCAAATTAAATTATAAAAGTTTTACTAGTCATGTATGTACTAAATAGGTACTGTAAATGCAGTTTACTATGTAGTTATACCATATTAACATTCACATTGAACATTTAAACATTATGCATTTCTCAATAATTTCAATCATTATGTTATTAATATCAAAAACATCTGTCATACCTACTCCAGTCCATGTAGACATTTTTTTTAAAAGCAAAACACTATTATTTTAACATGCCACCTTTTAAAATGTTGAGCAACTGATAATGGCAATTTTTTATTTTTTTAATAACCATGGTACATGATTTTCTAAAAGAGAAAACCATTTTAGTTGTCAAAATGTCCAGTTGGGTTAATTTATCAAAACTCACGTTTGTCAGGGTATAATTAATTTTATTAATTATAATCATAAGTCAAATTAGTAAACTTTTGGATTATAGAGATTGTGTTCTATAGATTGCATTCAAATACAAGATTTTACTATGTAAATTTATTTATTTATTATAATATTGTTAACTAATTGTCATTATCATTTAGTTTAACAGGCCTTTAACCCAACGATGCTATTAAGAAATGGTTGTTAATTATACATTTTAATTAAAACTAATTACTAAAATATCTGTTAGTAATTAGTAAGTTAAAAATGTTTAAAAATACAATTTATATTTTATATCATATTTTACAGGCTCTCTACAGAAGAACCAGAAGACATGGACGCATTAAACAAAGAACTAGAGGATGTAAATGAGAACAATTTAAATTATTAACTATTAATTTAATGTAAAATTATATTTTATTTAAATGTTTTTAGCTACTTAAAGAGGAGAAAAAATTAATGAACGAATTAGCTAACTTACAAGAGACAGAAAATGCTTTGGATTGTGACATAAAGGAAGCAGAAAAAGAAAAGGAGAGGTTAATTAAAGAAGAAGAAAGGTATTGGAAAGAATATAGTAAACATCGTAGAGATTGTATTTTAATAGACGACCAACAAAAAAGGTATTTATTGCTTTTCAATTTTTACACATACCCATTGTTTTATGTCAATCTATTTTTAGTGTTGAATGTCAGATTAGTTATACAACCTCACAATTAGCCAAATTAAGAAAAACAAATGTATTTAATGCAACATTTCACATATGGCATCACGGTCATTTTGGCACAATTAATAAGTTGCGTCTCGGTAGATTACCATCAGCACCGGTTGATTGGGCCGAGATAAATGCTGCATGGGGTCAAGTGACTTTGCTGTTAGTTTCATTAGCAAGGTATATGAATTTAAAATTTGATAAATACCGTCTTGTCCCTTACGGAAACCATTCATATGTTGAGGTGAGTCGTTGTTTTATTTATTACCCTGATATGTAGTTAACGTACGGGAAAAATATTCAAATTTTATTTATATCATGTCAAATGTAACAGGTACTGGGCGAAAAGAAAACATTGCCTTTGTATGGCCAAGGAGGTATACGTTTTGTATGGAATACGAAATTTGACTTGGCCATGGTTGCATTTTTAGATTGTCTTCAACAGTTTAAAGAAGAAGTAGAAAAAGGCAACTCGGGATTCCATTTACCTTATCGAATGGAAAAAGGAAAAATTGAAGACTCTGCCACTGGAAATACATACAACATTCGGTAATTAAGATCAACATTTTTTTATTAATAAAGCCTTAAATACAGATTAACTTATTTTATTACAGAATACAGCTTAATTCTGAAGAAGGTTGGACGAAAGCACTGAAATTTATGTTAACCAATTTAAAATGGGGTCTAGCTTGGGTCTCTGCAAAAATAAACAATGAAATGTAGAATATAAGATGTGTTGTAAAATAAAAACTAAAGAATTATACATATTACTATTATATATAAATATATTATTTTTAATATAAATAATATTTTATCACATGTTAAGGACTATTTTATTTGTTAAAAACCACATTAGGCCAAAAAGAAAACTAGTTGATCCATTTAATACATCGGATTGTGTAACAATATCTCTTATTTGCGGAATAGTGTATTCCACAACTTCAATGTCTTCTCCTTCATTTTCAACGCCACCTCCATCAGAAACTTTCATATGATCAGTCACTTCTGTGTAAAAAAATGTTTGAGTTGTTCCAGTAATGCTTAAGCCGGATCTAGTGAACAATTTTTTTAAATTTAATTAAATAATTTAAAGCAATTATTTATTTCAAGTTGGGGACTTGCTTGCAACTAATGATTTTTTGTAAATCTGAAACTTTGATTTCGTAGCCACATTCTTCTCGTACTTCATCAACAGCTATTTCTTCTAAGGATTTGTTTTTGTCTACAATACCAGCACAAAATTCTACTGTTAACCCATTTGTAGGTGGATACTTCTCAGTATCAATTGGTCCTTCTGCAGGTCTATCAAAAGCTGGAATACTTTTATAGTATACAGCTGAAATGTAAACATAATGGTGGTTTTATAATATTAGTAACAATATAAAAAACATTTGTTGTATTACCCGGTCGAAATTGCTTCACACATACTAAAGTATTTCTGTTTCTGTTGTAAATTATAATAAAAACACTGCAAAGAAAAAACAATAAATGAAGTAATTATTATAATAGTCAATCTTTACTTGTTTTTACACATTTTATTACTGTCCTTGTTTTATTTTATTTATAAAAGTGTAAAGTCCAAGTTTACCAAATTTAGTAAACTTTGATAATGAATCTAAAAATAAAAGGAATTGTATTTTTCTGTTTGAGTTGTAATTACAAACATATGATCTTTAAAATTAGTACATTACTGTAGATTTTTATTTTTCAGGAAGAGGGGTTAGATTGGTATAGATAAATTTGAAAAATTAGATGGTCTAAATGTAAAACAAACAAGATTGTGAGTTCATAAAAACGTTATAAAAAAATATAAAAATTCTGTTTTCAATCAATTATGGGACACTGTACAAACCTTAAATGTACATATATAATAATTCAACATTAAAATGTTATACATATAACATTTTTGCTCATTATTTAAGTTTAAAACAATTTACAATACTTTTACATTCATATAATTATTTAATTATAAGAACAGTTTCTATAATTTTTAAATTATAATATTGTATACCATACTGTATTCTAAATATATTTATAATCAAAAGTGTTATAATTTTATTTAAGTTTTAAGGGGATTGAAAGCAGTCAATGTTTTGGATATATTAGACCTAAAAACCTGACTAAATTACGTCTACTAAGGATTTCAATTTTGTAAAAATATTTGAGTTTATCGGCCTATTTTTTAGATTATTGTGAGAATCGATTTTTGATATTTCAATTAAAATTAGGTTAAAATCCTATTTGAATTTTTCAAATTTCTTAAATTTTTAGTAATCACTTCATTGTCTTTTTTAAGTAATAGACAGTTATTCAAAATTCAATTTCTACAATTACCTGGAAAAAAGGTCGATCAACTCAATTATTTTTATAGAATTAAATCTGAAATCATTAATGACCTCTGGGCTTAACCCAAATTTACCCGACAAATTTGGTTTGAAATATAGATTATTATAGATAATAAACATTTTATAATAATTATCAGTTAATTGAGACTTTTTTAAGGATCAAGGGAATAAGAGACAACTATAATATTATTCTTACCTATCGTGGCTATCCATCAAATCCCATTTAATGTCTTTCTCTCCCTAGACATAAGTATAAAATATGCATACATCAGGGTTGAAAAAACAATGATACTAGGTATTTTTTTTTACTTGTTTAAACATCAAAGAAAATGGCTTGATGTAATTCGACTCGGTGGTTTTCACAGCTCTCATTTCACTAATAGGCTTCATAATTTGCTCAGTTACAATACTTATATCAATTAAACTTCGCTTTAAGTTATAAATGTGATCAGTTGTCACTGTAGGAGAAATAAGCAGCTAATGAATTACTAGCAACTTTTTGGTATATATATCTAAACCTTTGTTCGAATAAAATTTAATTAGTTTCAAGAAATCGGGTAATCCAAAAATTAGGAATGTAAAGTATTTATTGTTATAACTTATAAGTTATATAACTTATAAAGTTCAAAATAATATCTGGTAACAGACAAGATGTTAAAGTTTAGACATCGAGATAAAAAAAACAAATTCTTTATCTCGATAAGTTTAGACCACAAAATAACCAGAAGGGAAACTTTAAAAAAAATTACAAGGGTTCATATAATCCGCTGCAAAAAAGCCGTCTGCCATCTTGTTTTTTTCAGCAGGGAGCCAGAATATAATTGAAAGACTATAGCCATTGATTAAATACAATTTGTATTAATCATTGCAAGGTAGATTTTTCTTAAATCCAAAGGAGGATTTATCTTAAATTTACCTTAAATCAATGAATTATGGCTTAGTACACAATATTAGTGTGTTTTTTGGTCGCCGGGAGCGCTGAATGCTAATGCCCAAGTTTTTTGTTTTGCTTGCGCGTTATCTCTTACTCCAGTGTTTGTGTTTTGTCTTCATGATAACTTAATTGTTTTGATTTCGATTTGTTGACTGTTCTTTGGAAAATATGTACTAATATGTACTTTTTTTTTAATAACTATTTTACGAATAATTCTACCTAAAACTTAAACGATATAAAAAAAATGTTTTTACTGACGGTGTATAAAATTTTTTTTAAATAGCATTAAGCTTAGCGTCTGTATTAGTTTGTATCAAATACGATTCCCCTTTAGAATTTGCACATAGACTAAAGTCTTAAATTACTTGTTAAGTTTTCGGCACAAAAAAATAAAATGCCGCCGGTATTGAAATGCATTGAAATGGACAATTTCAAGTCCTACAAGGGCCATCATATGATTGGACCCTTGAAAAATTTTACAGCGGTCATCGGGCCCAATGGTTCTGGTAAATATATAAAAAGTCTAAGCGCTTTTTTTTAACAATTAGAAAATACATAATACTATTGTTTACAGGCAAATCTAATTTTATGGATGCTATAAGTTTTGTGATGGGCGAAAAAACAAATAGTCTCCGTGTGAAACGTCTTAGCGATCTCATACATGGGGCTTCAGTTGGACAACCAGTATCTCGCAGGTAAAGAAAGTTTTAATAGTAGTATAAAATTGTGTTTATATCATATTATAATATGTTTGTTTTATGATTGTAATAGTATTTATGAATTTAAAATATTTTCAGTGCGAGTGTAACTGCTGTTTTCCAAATGGACGATGAAGGAACTGAAAAACGTTTCACTCGAACGGTTCAAGGATCATCCAGTGATTATAGAATAAATAATGAAGTATGTTTTTAAAAATAATTTACACATCCTAAAAAAACTATCCTTGAAAAATATAATACTTTTCTTTACCTATTTTATAATATTTAAATTATTATTTTAGTTTGTTCAGAATCAAGAATATTTTGCGCAATTAGAACAGATAGGTGTAAATGTTAAAGCCAAAAACTTCTTAGTTTTCCAAGGTGCAGTTGAGTCGATTGCAATGAAAAATCCTAAAGAAAGAACTGCATTATTTGAAGAAATTAGTGGGTATGTACATCTAGTATATTATGTATAAATGTATTTTTTTTTACAAAATCTAATCATCTTTTAAACAATTTTTTTTTTAGTTCTGGAGCATTAAAAGAAGACTATGATCGTTTAAAAGCAGAAGTAATGAAAGCTGAAGAAGAAACTAATTTTACTTACTTAAAAAAAAGAGGTGTTGCGGCTGAACGGAAAGAGGCAAAGATGGAAAAAGAAGAAGCAGAGAAATATCAAAAACTGAAAGATGAACTGGTAAAACCAAATTCACCTATGCATTTCTTGTAATATTTTTAACATAAAAATAGACATTATATACCTAACATAGGTGTAAATAGTGTAATAGACTAACAAGACTATCGATTACGATATACGGGAATCAATGGCCACAAATTATAATAGACAGACGATCAATCGTATCAACCAATATGCTCTGTTCAATGCACTGGCTTTTATTAATAGGAATTATGATTTTTTTTTTTCAGGCCCGAAAAGAAGTCGAGTATCAATTATTCCGTTTATATCAAAATGAAAATATGATTAAAAACTATGAACTGGATATGGAAGATCGTAAGAAAGATGTTGCTAAAGTTGAAAGCAAAAAAGAGAAAGCTGAAGAAGTGGTAAAAGAAAAAAAGAAGGAACAAGGAAAAGCGAGTCGTGAATTAGCCAAAGTCGAACAAGAAATTAGAGAAATTGTAAGAGTATAATAAATAATTTATTTGTTAATTTTCTTTTGTATACTAAAATACATTTTGATTATTTAGGAAGTGGAAATTAATAAAAAACGTCCATCATTCATAAAATCTAAAGAAAGAGTAGCTCATATACTAAAAAAACTGAATACTGCAAAAAAATCTCTTGCTGAAGTTGTTATGGCCAATGACGCACATAAAAGAGATATTGATGAACTGGAAGCTGAACTAAAAGAAGTTGAGAAGCGAAGACAAGATTATGAAGACCAAGTAGCTGGCGAGAGTCAAAGCCAGGGAAGAGATGTACAACTCGAAGATGCTCAGGTAACATATTTTTAAACATATAAACATTAAACACCATTTATTCGTTTTTTTAAATATTTTAGGTAGCTGAGTATAATCACTTGAAAATTGAAGCTCGTAAACAATCTGCTCTTTACTTGCAAGAATTAGATTCTATTAATAGAGAACAAAAAGCCGATCAAGATAAGTTGGATAATGAATTGCGCTTACGATCGGAATTGGAAAACAAAATAAAACAGAAGACACACGAAAAAGAAGAAGCACAAAAACGTGTGGATAAACTTACCGAACATATTAAATCCAGTGAAAATGCTCTAGAAGAACAAAGGAGGCTCTATGATGAGCTAAGAAAAGACGTAGGATCGTCTAAAGACAAAGTTTCTAAGCTTCAAAGAGATTTAGATAACGTGACAGAACAGTTAGGAGACGCCAAAGTCGACAAACATGATGATAACAGACGTAAAAAAAAACAAGAGCTTGTAGAAAATTTCAAAAAAGCTTATCCTGGTGTGGTATGTTTTTCATTTTAAATTTAGCAATACCAGTTTATACATAAATTATTTATGTATTTTTTAAACATTTTTTTTTTTTTTAGTATGACCGTCTAATCAACATGTGTCATCCAGTAAGTAATCGCTACAATGTGGCTATTACTAAAGTTCTAGGAAAATACATGGAAGCTATTATTGTGGACTCTGAGAAAACTGCTCGTTTGTGTATTCAATATTTAAAAGATCACATGCTCGATCCGGAAACATTTTTACCCATCGATTACCTGCAGACAAAACCTTTAAAAGAACGTCTTCGTAATATTAACCGTCCACACAATGTTAAGCTCATGTATGATGTATTGGAATTTGACCCCGAAATTGACAGAGTTGTTTTATTTGCGACTAATAACGCGCTAGTGTGTGAATCGCCCGAGGATGCAAATCATGTGGCTTATGAATTGGAAAAAGACGGAAGATATGATGTAAGTATGCAATTAATTTTGGCTATTATGTATATCATTACTATGAACTAATATTGATAAAATAATAATTGTATTTATTAGGCTGTAGCACTTGATGGCACGTTTTATCAAAAATCGGGTATAATATCTGGTGGTAGTTTGGACTTGGCTCGTAAAGCAAAGCGATGGGATGAAAAACACATGACACATTTGAAAGCATCAAAAGTAATACAGCTAATTTAAAATTAATATTAACAGGTGTCGATTATAAACTGTCTTGTTAATTATATTATTTTTTTTAGGAAAAATTGTCTGAAGAATTACGTGAAGCTATGAAAAAATCTCGAAAAGAATCGGAATTGAACACAGTAGATTCTCAAATTAAAGGCTTAGACATGAGACTTAAATATGGAAAAACCGATAAAGAAAACACTGTAAGTTCATTTTTTCAGGAATATAAAATACTCGTTTATCTACATTTTACTGTATTTGTAATTTAGCTAAAACAAATCAGAGATCTGGAAAAAGAATTAAAATTCCTTGAAAAAAAATTGGAAGGAAGTGGTGTAAGCATTACATTTTTTGGGGGGTTAAGTTATTTTGTAATATTATATGAAACATTTTTATTTTATACTTAGCCTCGTATTGAAGAGATTGAGCGTACAATGCATACGCGAGACCTTGAAATCCAAACTATGCGCGGTCGTATGAATTCTGTTGAAGACGATGTGTTTGCAGACTTCTGTCGTCAAATCGGAATGACTAATATTCGGCAGTACGAAGAACGCGAATTAAGGTCACAACAAGAGAGAGCCAAGGTTCGGTTGGAATTTGAAAATCAAAAGAATCGTATTATGAGTCAACTTGACTTTGAACGCACTAAAGACACACAAAGTAAATTAATTATTTGAAATATTAATGTGCAATATTAATAATAATTATTATATTATAATAGATAATGTGATACGCTGGGAAAAGGCGGTACGTGACGATGAAGATGAGTTAGAAAGAGCGAAGCAAGCAGAGCAGAAACAAATGTCAGAAATTGAGATGGACATGAAGGAAGTTGACCGGTTAAAGGCTCAACGACAAACGAAAAAACAAGAAGTTGATCAGATGGATGAAGTTATCAGTAAAGTATGAAATGGTCATCTAATAATTTGAAAAAACTTCATTAATATACAAACATTAAAAAATATATTAATACGGATTTAGGCTAGAAAAGAGGTTGGAGCTATTGCTAAAGACATACAAGCAGCTCAAAAACAAGTAAATAATTTGGAAAACAAAATTGAAATAAAGAGAGCTGACCGTCATGCTATTTTGACTCACTGCAGGGTATGTTGTAGAGATAGAATTAAAAATATTAAACAAACTATACATTTATATATTTATCTGAGTATTACTATTTATGTTTATGTGTGTTTAGATGGAGGACATTAACATTCCGTTACTACAAGGGAATTTGGAAGATATCATTCAAGAACAATCGGTAAATAATTCTGAAGATCACGGAAGAGATAGCACGGCTCATTCTCAAGAAATGTATGACCTAGAATCCAGGTTTGTAATAATAATGATGTTAAATAACAGTTATAATATTATGGATTCATAGAAATACAAAATATTTAATTATTATTTCAAATAACTGAATAATAATAATTTATTTATTTCAAAATATTTAATTTATTTTGTTTGTAGAATTATAGTTGATTATTCTTCACTTCCTGAAAATTTAAAGGATCTAGAGGATCCGGACGACATAAAAAAAGTAACAGATAAAATGGCTAAAACTATGGCTGAGCAATCAATGAAGCTTCAAAAAATACACGCTCCTAATTTCAAGGTTGTATTTTATTTTTTTTTTATGCTGGCTTGGTCAATAGTTTATTTAATAATTATCTGTTACTAATTACTCATTTAGAATATTAAATTGTAAACAGATAGAGTGAGAAAGCTTTTTTATTATTATTTTTTTTTAATTTACTTATAATAAAAATTCGAATTTTGTGATGTCTCTCGATTGTTACTCCAATAATTTAGACTGTAATGACAGTCAAGTCGTGTGCAATGAATCAAATTTTAAAATTGCAAATCTCGTCAGTACCAGTTTTGATCTATTAAACAAAGTTTTCCAAGAAATTCCACGTAGACTCATAAAAGTAATACCATTTAAAAGAAAATATCCAAGGGCTTATAAAACTATAGATACGGAATGTCCAGACGTAAAACGTCTTAAACATCAAATTGTTAAATTGCAAAATGATTTGAATTGTTTGGAAGACGATTTGTGCCAGCGGACGGAAAATTTAATCACATTGCAGAAAACAATATCAGAGAATGAAGAAAATAACTTTCAAAAGCTAGAGTTATTGGAAATGATTGTGGGTTCCAAATTGGAATACTACAAACACAGATACGACGATATGTGTAGGCCAGACAAGATCAAGACCGATGTAAAATTATACTTAGTACAAATTTCAAACTTACTCCATTTTTTGTTTGAAAATTCAAAGGATGTTCCTTATGATAATATTAAATTAGTCAAAAAGAAACTCACCATGTTGTCAAAGTTGAGGAAACAAATAAAGAAACATATAGATAATATGGATAACTATGTTCAATATTTTGAGCAATTATGTGTTTAAAAAATTAATAAACAAATGTATTTTAGATATTTTACGCATTTATTTGTATTGTGTATAACAATTTATAAACGATTTAAATTTTGAAAACAGGCAATGCAAAAACTCGATCAGGCCAGAGAAAAAATGCAGGAAACTGATCGCGAGTTCAACAGTGCCCGGACTCGTGCAAAGAAAGCCAAACAAAACTTTGAACGTATTAAAAAAGAAAGACATACCAAATTTACAGAATGTTTTGAACACGTCGCCAACGAAATTGATTTAATATACAAGGTAACCCCTTAACCTCAATTGTTTCGATTTTCAAATTAAATTATTATTTGTTATAATACTAGGCATTGTCCAAGAATCAATCGGCACAAGCTTTCTTAGGCCCGGAAAATCCAGAAGAACCGTACTTGGATGGTATCAACTATAATTGTGTAGCTCCCGGAAAACGTTTTCAACCAATGTCAAATCTATCTGGAGGAGAAAAAACTGTTGCCGCTTTAGCATTGCTATTCGCAATTCATAGGTATACATGTATAAAAAAAAAATTCATACCAAAAATTGAACAATTTTGTTTGTGTCCGTCAGGAAAATATGTTACAGTTGTTTTTTGTTTTTTTTAGTTACCAGCCAGCTCCGTTCTTTGTACTTGATGAAATAGATGCGGCTTTAGATAATACAAATATTGGCAAGGTCGCTTCTTACATATTACTGAAGAAAGCCAATTTGCAAACTATTGTTATTTCTTTAAAAGAAGAGTTCTTCCACCATGCCGATGCTCTAGTGGGCATTTGTCCCGACGTAAGACATTTGAAATTCTAAATATTTAACTTTATATAAACCATTTGAAATACTTTTGATAATAAATTGTACAATTTTTTTTTCCCCAGGAAGGACAATGTTTGATAAGTAAAGTCATAATGATGGATCTAGCCGAGTACCCTTTGGCAGAACCAGAGGAAAATGTAGCCTATTCCTTACGTTAAAATTAAGTTCATTATTTTTACTATAAATTTAGACTATAATATGTGCAAGTATTTTATTTATATATTCTATTCAATTATTTTTTGAAAAATAGTTAAATGTATTTAAATGTCATTTAAAATTTAATGATATGATTTTGTATTTCGTGTTTGATACACTTACAGTTTTGAAAACCTATGATAATTCCTATATACAATGTAATAATGATCTAAAATACACTTTTTAGGACGAAAAGAAACTGTGTTATTTTATTTGACAACAAAGGTAACTTAAAAAATAATATAATAATCAAATAAAATGCGGTTTTTACTTATCGCTCATTATATAAGTTTAAAAAGCCAGCACGTTGGAGTCTGTGATAGTGGGACAGGATAGTACTGATCTTAGCTCTTCAGCAATTATTACACATTAATTACCTGCTAAAGGTATGCCAATTTTAACTAGTTGATTAGACAATTTATAATATTGAAAAATAACAACAACAAAGAAAACAACTTCAAAGTTATAGTTATTTTCGACGTGGCTTACGTTATCACCTGTATTCGTGAACAAAAATTAAATATCAACAGGTAACACAATATTGTTGAATTTTGTAAAAATAAGCAATTCTACTAATTCTACAAAACTGTGAACTGTCTTACCTAGTTGACACTATTATGTTCAATACAAACGTCCTACGGCGCTCGGTTCAGGTTTAGTGCTGGCTTCGCCGAAGAAATCACAAATTTGTGGACCGCCAAATTCTTTGTACGGTGACATATTACCAACAGAGTTATTGCACGGCCGTTGTAAGTCATATTATGTGCAGTGTGCTGCCTTCCATTAATATTGTGCAGATTTGTCAAAATTGCGACACGTGCAGTGTGGTGTGTGTGTGTGTAAAAATCAAATTATACAAACGACTTTGTCGACGGAATTATGTCGAGTTTTTCTTTAAGAAAAAAAAACGCAAGGGGGACAAATACCATCCGTCTATATACGAGGGCACTGGCCTGTGATAATAAGTACACAGAAACGACGAGTGTATTATATATATATAGGTGCAATTATTAAACGTACGGGGATGACCATTATTATATTTAGGTATGTGTATAATATTATATATAGAAAAACCATCGCCGGTCCATTGAAGAAACGCGTTGAATGAACCGAATATGAACGGACCTGACTGAATGACTGTGGATATAAAACGGTCGTGTAAAAAACCGACACACGGCCATAACTAGGTGTGCAGAACAGAACAATTAGGGCTCGCGACAAATAACTCTTGGCGGGCCCTGTTGCAGTTATATAGGTACAATGCTTTACGACATATTATACCTATTATTGTAAAGTATATACCTATACATCGATTCTTTGGTTCTAAATGTGTTGTGCGAGGCGGCCGCGCTAATATGGCTCGTCCGCGGGTGCATCTGCTTCAGAGTCTATTGATTGCTGCAGTCTTTGATGTCCTTAGTAAGGGAGGGGGAGATGTGTTCTGTAAGCCAAAAGGTCACGGCAGTTGCCCGTTAATCCAAAATCGGGTACGTGCCTCGGCCAAATTTATTGGTTTATGATAAAGCGGCTATATTATATATAATAGTGTAGGCAATATAATATGTATAATATCATCTATAAATACACCTGGACGACTCGGCGCGCGGGCTCGCCTTTGGTAGTTTGTTTTTTTAATCGACGGTTATTATTTTGTCGGAATCCCAATAATCGTGTTTGAATAATATAATGGCGACGTGATGTGTCTGGTTTGATCGATGGCACAAAAAAAAAATGTCATTCATAGAATCTCCCATCCTGCCGAGATTGCACCTATAGTGATGATCTCTATAGACTGGAAGTGTTTAAAAAAATTTAATTTTTTTTGTTTTCTGGATACTTGTCGACGTACCTAAAGTTTGATTAGCTGTTATTATGGTCAAGGGGATTGGAAACCGTTATTTTATAAGGGGAAAAATATAGGCAACTTGTTATAATTTGTTAAAAATGTCAAAAAGTTCAACGTTATAATATAAGAAGAACTTATTTTATAATAATTTTTTTATAATTTGTTTTAGTTAAGTACTATCTGAATAGCTAAAAAAACATTATTTTGTAATATACATATTTTAAAGAAAAACACAATCTAAAATTGATTTTGTTTTTTTTTCACTAAAAAGATAATATTATCTAAATCTTAGCTAAGTCCGGGTAACCTAATCCTATGGCTGTAGCTGATGACGACGATAAACAGAGCATTCAGTTTTTGCAGAAGACAATCGAAGACACTAAAAAATCGATTTTAGCGTTACAAGGTATCAAAGACGATTCGCTACAAAAAACTTTGAAATGCCTTTAAGATGGAACCGCGTTCGACAAATAGACAGAATTTCGATAGATGTCTGATTATCAGAGTATTTTTAAATGTTAAATATTGAACAAATACTAAATATTATTGAAAATTGATTTTGAAACTTACTTTCAATTTAATTAATCCCTAGTTCAGAATTTGAGTACAATTGTTTTTGTATTTATTATAACGGGTTAGATTTATAAAAATTAATTTTCTTCATAATTAATTATAGTTTATAGATAAAAAATAATGACTATAACATAATATTATGAAGTGATGAAACTATGAGATAAAATAGGGTACAAGTGACATTTTTCCCAAAACAAGTTCCCATCTGTGCAGTATATTTTATTAATGGTGTTTTTGTTTTTGTCACGGTGTGTTCCATTTGCACACGGTTGTTTATCATTTTTTTTTTAATTGCAGATATATTATATAGTAAAATAGTAAATCAGTAAAAATACTAATCTACGCGTAAAAAAAGTAAATATATATTGCTAGAAATTACATTAAAATAATTCATCAGAGTATGACAAATGTGTTCATGTGTGACATCCCATGACTTCTGGGACATGCACTGCGGTATGAACATAAATTTCTATCCGACGGCCGTCACACTCATTTTGTCGTTTCCATACCTAAGTGTAATTTTATATATTTCATATGAATATTTACAATATATATATATATATAAACTATTGTCAATTATACATTATTTGCGAACGTAAAATTAAAATATAAATCAAATGGTATTCCTCTAACCTATCGGAATGGTTATAATATTATATGCTATAAAATATGTTTTATACTGTTTTCATGAGTAAAAATTGCACGTATTCTGTGTATTGTAAAATTTCGATAAAATAGTTACCAGCTTCCTGAGTTGACAATGCCATTTTTGTAGATTTTAGAACTTTAAAAAAAAAATTGGTATTTTTAATTGAAACATTGTTGCGAGAACGATAGGTACTAGTATTTGGTGTATCATTACAAACAGCATTTTCAGTATTGCGCTCAAGTGCGGTACCTAATAATGGTTTCAACCATTTTATAATCGCGGTCGTTGCGGATTCCGGTCATAAAAAGAAAAGAAAAAAAGATATGAGTAAAATGTCGTTAGCCATAATAAAAGCTATACACAAACACACATACAGAGTGAGTGGGTGAATTCATCATAGGCAGATATTTAATCAGTGTGCGATTTATCCCCTCGCACGGTTTAATTCTCTCTACACCACGCTGTACTTTTCTACCCCTGGAAATAATTTTGTAGACAATGTTGGCGGACAAGTCTCCGGGGACGGTTACCACACACACCATAAGCCACCCGAAATTGAAACATATATATGTGTATACAAACGGAATAACGCGGCCAAAAAAGGGAGAAATTGACGCCCCTTATATAGTTGGCTGAGGGCAAAAAAATGGCCGACCATTGCATCTATAAGGTGGTCTAGCTTTGTACAGCTATTTGGGCGTTAGAATTTTAGTGATTATACGCATAAGCCGTTGTGTACTTATAGGTAATGTTAGATATAAACAAATTTCAATTACATACCACGTGGATTGTTCTCGCATTGTTGTCTACAGTATTTTAGCCTACGGTTATCGTCTCAAAGACAATACAAGGACATTGGCAGATATCAGGGGTTATAAAAACCTTAAAACTTAAAATTAGTGGTACTTAAAAAAATAAATGTAGGTTTTTTGAAAAGCACTGATTCCAAGTTTAAAAAAATTTCAGCACTCAAACATCCCCCTCTCCAACGTACAAGGGGACGAGGGAATAATTAACTGTTATATGTGTATATCCGGATTCACTGTTTTTGGTTTCAATAATTGTAGGTGATATAATAGTAATACGTTTAAATAGGTGCTACACGGCAAAGTGTTATATTAATATTTTTTAAATTACCGTATACAGCACTGTAAGAACTGTTCCAAACAGCTTATTTGTGAAAAATTTGACAACTCAAAGTATATAACCATTATTTTTCCAAAAAAAAATCCCACTGCCTTATTTATTATCCGCCCCGCGACTGTATTATGTCTACCTAACTCCAACGGCCAACCTACTTCTAAATCATGTTTGAATAACGTTTTCGCGTGGGGGTTTGGTCTGGACGTTCGTCGATCATCGATCAATATCAATAATAAAGTCGTCGATAATAGAAAATGATAATTGATGATGAAAAATTTACTCGGCAACAAAAATTGACCGCGCAATGGGCGTACATAATATTTCAATTGACAATATGAAATAGTAAAAACAGGTGAAAATGCGCCCATTGTAACGTTGTATGTAGTGGCGAGTCCCCCTAAACCTATTGAGCTTGTACGTGATTTAATGACTGTTGAGCAGGCCAACGTTCGGGGTTCATTTAATATTATATTGCCTATTATAAACTGAACCGAACAAAGTAATTGAACATTTCTCCAAGCTAAATAATAGAAATAATATTATATTATAAACAGTTTTACACGTTAGATATTATGTTGACCTCGCAGTGCCTCGACGGTGTTGTTTTTACCAACACTCAAAGATACGGCCATTTATAATTAGTAATAATTAAATTAACAAACAACGGAGAAGTTAAATTTTTTATTGTAAATATCAAGAGGTTAAAGTTTAAAAAAAAAGAGATTTGATTTACATTTAACGCGAGATATAGAGAGAGAATACCTCCTAAGATTATTGCAATTTAGAAGTTTTTCTTTTTGAAAAAAATGTCTGTTTAACGTTTTTTTTACAATATTAAAAGAATATATAAATAAAATATAACTTTTTAGGCCTGATTTTAGCCATTGAATTTTTCAAAACTATCAAATTAAAAAAATTAAATAATACCGTCTATATTTAATTGACTTTAAATTAAGAATAGTTTCCTGAACATTTTGTCTGGTCGATAATCAGTTTTGAATAATTACTCATTATAAAAGTGAAGCAACTCCAAATAAAGCAAAACAATTTTTTTTTTAAATAGAAAATACTGAATGAATACTTGTATTGTTTTTCCAACACATTAAATTACAAAAAGATCGTTATTTCAAAATTCAATTACAAGGAGATAATTCACTTTTACAATGAACGACACAAATATCGACGAGTAATCATTGTAAATGAAAAAATGTGTTTAATATTGTATTAATTAATACTTTCGAGTCATATAATAAGCTATAGAATATGCTTCTAGAATTCTTAATTACCAAATTCCTAAATTTAGTTAGTTAAATACACTGTTAAAATATAATGTCGAAAGTGTTGAACTTATAGAAAAGGTATTTTATGGTAAAATATCAAACTGCAACACAATGTTGATAACAACGTTATTTAATTAAAGCGGAAAATTAACATTAAAAAAAATATTTGAAAGTAGAAATAAAAATTGAAAATAAAAATTAGATAATAGTATCAAAAATTTATTTTTTATTTTTTCGTATGGCTGTCAGAGGGGTGATAGAACTTGAGCCGTCTAAAGACGTTGCCCGGGGTACACTACGTGGAAGCGTTCTATCATTGTACCACCATAAAAAATGTAAATAAAAACTCAAACAAAATATAAAACGGTATTGTACATAAAAATCCAAACCGAAAAAAAAGTTAACTTGTTTTTTTAATCAAAATTAAAACTGGAAAAAATTAGAGCTGTTTTGAATTCATTATAATTATTTATCATTCGCAGCAATCAATACTTTAATAGTTTACATATTTTAGTTGAGTGTTGATAATAACTTTTTGATAAATTGCTTTAACTTTTGAATTCAAATTTTTTCCACGTGATATAATATTATCTGTTAGTTAAGAATTACATTTTAAATTATTTGTCTACCTTGCAAATTTTCAATATTGCTCGTTAATGAAATGAGAAAACAATTTATAAAAATTTAGATCCAAATTGTACCTACATGCATTTTCTATTCTTATTATTTCCTTACAATAAATCTTGATTTTATTTTCTTATGGTTGCTTATCACTTGTTATTGACCAGAATAGCAATTTTAAATAGTCCGTATGTTGGACTTTAAGCAGACAATATGGTGCCACTTCATCGGATGATAGTAACGTGATCACGCCGGACACCGGTTATCAGACAACTCCAATATTCATATAAATAGGTGTGCAGCACCTTAGATCAAGCATAACACGTTTTTTATGCAAATCTATACTTTGGTAAGTGCAAACAGCAATATTTCCTTTATGGTATAATTTTACAGTAGAAATAAAATGGAAGTAATGACTTAATTCGATTTCCTTTAGTATTTCCTTCTCAAGTTCTCTAAGAACCAACTCAAAAACCAAAAATGGGCGCAGAAAAAGTATCCATGAACATCGTTGTCGTCGGACAAGTGCAATCCGCCAAAGCTATCAAAACCGTCGCCAAGAACAGCCCAGCTGCCAACCAAATCATGGTAAGTTTTTTAGTTATTTCTAATTTATAGAACTTATAAACATAATAGGACAAATTTTAACTTGCAACCTCAACGAATACATTTTTGTAGCTGATTCGTTTGTATCTATTGAATAGTTTTTGCATGAAATATATATTATTTTATTATGTAAAAAACGTGTAGGTTACTTACAGTAGATATGATTTTATTTAGATAAAAATAATATTTACACAATGATCAAGTTAATACCTACCAGAGGCTTGAATGAAGTAAATGTTGTCATAAAACAGTTTAGTTTCGTTTAATTAAAATAAAAGCATATTATTAGTTCATAAAACAACGATAGTAGTTATAATATTGTAGTAGACTTAAATAGACTTAAATAATAGACTATAATTAAAATAATTATTAAATAATGTCTTTTGTTGTTAATCCTTAATTTGTTTTTATACTATTACCATATAATATCCTGATCTATAATTATTAAAGTCTGAACCCACATTTACCAAGTTTATTTATAAAAAACACATATATATTTATAATTTTATAAAATTAGTTTTATAATTACTAAATTGTTACATAATTTTTGCTGCTAAGAAAACTAAAATTTATTGAGTATAACGATTAATTGAACATTACATTTATTTTTTAATTTAATTTACTAAAAAATAAAATGGAATTTTAAAATATACAACAGCAATATAGCATTTTCAATAATTGGAAGTACAAAAATTTAGTTTGTACTAGACATGTGATACAAAATTCAGGTTTTTCTCATGGTTTGCTTAAACTAATACCTAATATTTTTATTTTTTCAGAATTGTTAGTGAAACATATCCATGAAATCAAACTTCAAAATGCCATAGACCACACAATACATTCTATATATTATATCATAATAATAAAATGTAATGCAATATCATTAAATAAACTATAAAATATCCGTTTAACTATATTTAGTTTAATTGATTTAGTTCTGATTTTTACCTTTTAAAACCTATTAATTGTGTACTTAACATACTACACGAATCCTGCTGAAGATATAGAATTTGGAATTGATATCATGTAAATTATATTTAAAAAATACTAATCGCTATTTGCGTTGAGTTATTTAGCATTAAATTTATGGTACACAAAAATTATGAATTATAATATACGAGTATAAAAAAAACAGCACAGTCGGGTCGGGGCTGAACTGTAAAACGAGTTGAAGTTAGTTTTTTAAAGCTTAAAGTAGGGTTTTTGGTTTAAGAGTTTAGCCAAATATAGCCACAGGTATAAAGCCACTAGTTTTCACATTAAATATTGTTTTTTTGTAATAATTATAATGTTGAGATAAATGTTTTTAACTAAAAAAATATTTAAAAAATGATAATATTATGTTATTAATTCGTATTTTGGTTAACAAAAAAATGATTTTATACATGACTATTTATGACTCGACTTCTACAACAAATATACATAAGTTTAAACAGTAAACTCCACTTTACACGCAATACATACGGGCTATTTCAAAGTAACAGTCATTAGTCACGTTCAACTTGTTAATCTTCTATAAGGATGCGTGTTAAGTAAATAGGTATTAACATTTTGAATGAAATTAATTAGCTTCATATACTTAATTGTATAAAATAAGCTACTTTCATTCGAAACCGTGATAAACGGATGTAAAAATAAAAGAAAGTTTTTGTCGAGTGCCGTAAGGGCTGTGTTTGTAGTCACCCTCGTGGTGGATTGCTTTTCTGGAATAAGCTTAAGTATATACACACAAAAAATATAATGTCATCGCATCAACATACTGATTTATTGCAATAATTATCCGTGTGTTTAACATTGAGATTACATCATTACGCAGTATTCGAATATCCGTATTGTCGGATTAATATTGTATAGGGGTTGTAAATATTTTATTGTACAATTATCATAACAAAGCAGTGGCGTTTCCCCCCGGAAAATTGTAATAGCTGATGGCTTGCTTGAAGTAAATAGTATTTTTTTTAGTTTTTCTCACACTTTACAGCGAATGATGAGTTTTTCTCACTTAGTTTAAAAGTTTTCGAGATGCCTGTATGAAACCATATTTAAGAGGTTTATGCGAAAGCGGTATTTACAATATTAACCGTAAACGTGGATTATGTTTGCGGGGTTTAATTGCTAAAGCTCTATATTATCCTATTTATAGTTACCGACGTCGTCTTGTAATTAAATCACTCATAGATAGTCTATTGTTCTTAGAAAACGGCTTGAACGCCTTTCATGAGAGAGCTTACACCCACTTTAGTTTAGTCGCAGGCGGTTGTTGTTAGGAAGCAGACTTAATATTTTGGTAATCACGAGAATAGACAAATTGATTACTCGATGCGGCTTATTACACAATTTATATGAAATCGAAATTAGGAAGCATAGTAGGGGAATAAAACGAATCGATACTATAATAATAGTGTGACCAAAATAAGTATAGAGTTCCATACAGTTAATGCTACACGAACGTTTCCTTTTCAAGACATGGATTATCGTAATACCATTTTATGAATGAAATTCTCTTGACTCTTGAGTAAGATGGCGGACCGTGTAGATCCATATTAATTTCACACAATGGACGCGATGGTCCGGACACACTGTATATTATGTATATTTTTGGCAATACGATTGACGGACAGGCTTCCATATAGTGGTGGTGGTGTAATGTCAACGACGGTGATCCGCTAAAAACGGCTAAACGGTTTCAAGGCACACTGGATCGCATTGACGGTATACAACAGTAATCGTACATAATAAAATAATATAAAAATATATATCCATCCAACGACGAGCAAAGAAAGAGCAGAGAAAATCCGCCGGATCTGAGTTTTTCGGATGATTGAGCTCCGCACACAATATAAATCTGTTGTTTATTGTGCGTGTGTATCTTTATACCGTATTATCGTTATTATTACTACTATTACTATTGTTATTTTAGCGGTCCGGGGATATAAGAGAGAGAGAGAGAATCAGCTCGCAGTCAGTCAGCTCAGTCAGCCAGCCAGTCAGCCAGTCGACAAAATACAAAGTGGGCCTTTTGTAAAACGCGTGACTTTTAGGGGACGTATATTAGTAGCGCACCGATGATACATATAAATATAATATATAGTATATACACCGTATAATAATAATAATATGTTACAATAATAATAAAACATGGGTGCACCGGTGCGCGGTGGAGAGAAAGAGAGGGCATGACAGGTCTAGTTTGGTTGCCTGCGGGGAGGTTTAGTATGTTCTCTCACTCTCTCTCACTCTTGTTATTATTTTTTTGACGTTCGCGCATGTGGAAAATGATTTTATTGTGCTGAGCAGTTTGTGTGTGCAACTTAGGAAGGCCGGCCGCCGTCCTGGGGACAGCTGTTCTGCTACACTGACAATGTCATTGGACGACGTTTTCCGCGACGGTTTCTTTATTATTATTTTTTTTTTACAATTAATTTGCACACACCACGGCGGTTCCATTGTTCCATCTGGAAATTATTTCGCTCTATTAGCTGTATAATTTCCCTCTAAAAAAAGTATCCAGCTATAATAAAAGGGAAGTCATAGTGCTGTCATCAGTATAGATAATAATAATATGATGGTCGCAAAACTCTCACGGCAGTTTTCACCGTAGCAACGATAATTAGGGTTGCGTAAAATGTGACAATAAGCATATTATCATCACCACTGTATACTAATAGAAACTATTTTTCATATTAAATAGGTTATCGTTAAAAGCGATTTCAACGTTTTTTATTTGTCAATACGACTCGTTATAACATCTAATAAAATACAAATATATTATAATGCAATATATGAAATGGTTTATAACCTCAGTACCGTTAATTTTATAAATGTTTTGTTTATAACAAAATATGTTAATATTGTTTTATACAATAACAAATTAATAAAGCCATTTATTAATATTTTGTGTTCAAGAGTTGTTAGACAAAAAAAACAATTATTTCCATTTTATATTTATCAACATATCGTACATCAAACGTATTATGTAATAGCTCAAATTACGACACACTTAGACATACACAATATTTTGCCATGTGTACAAATATGTAACTACAATTGAAAAAAAAATCGTAAGAATTATCCATTTATCTAAAAATATTAATGTATTAAAAAAACATCTTGTTATAGAGCACTGAATTACATTTAGACGTATACCGAATTATTTAAAAACATCTACCTATATCTAGTATATACTAATCGAATTTATAGATAACCATTTAAAGGGATTGCATGCGGTTGGTTTTTAAGGAGTTTTGTATAGGCAATATTTAAGAAAAAAGTGGTTTTAATAAATTTTGATCATGTCAATTAATTAACCGGTTAATTTGTATAAGCTTCATGGTATTATTTTTAGTTTAAATTATTTTGTCTATGAGTAAAAACCATTTTAGTTAATATAACATACATTTTTTGTTCCATCGCACAGATTGAACCAGTGATTCGATAAGTAATCTGAAAACAGATTTGAATTTGTCATGAAGTTAACTTATGATCGGTCAGGGTACTTTTTTGATATCTTATTCGTACTATGTATAAAACACGTTCGAATATTATATAAAATTTCAGATTTTAAAATCAAATTTGGAAAGGGTTAAAATTAAAATTTTTAAAAAGTACCCTGACCGATCATAAGTAAACTTCATGGCGAATTCAAATCTGTTTTTAGATTGCTTATCGGATCTCTGGTTCAGTCTGTGCAATGGAATAAAAATGATGTGTTTTGGCTGAAAAAACCGACCGCATGCAATCCCCTTAACAGTTTTATTGCAATAATGAAATTCAACTAAATATACTTAAGCATATTTTCGAAGCGTTTATAATAGTATTATATCGCTTATATTAGTTCCTAAGAATAGTAAGATCCTGTGACCTATAATCAATTAAATTCAAATTGTGATAAAACGATGCCCAATTTAAAAAAAAAAAACCTTTTTGTACAGGGCATATTTTAAACGTTTAGATCCACCGTATTCTGATCTTCGTACGCGTTTGTCCAGCGATGTTTTACATACCTACCTTGCGCGGACGTATACGAGGCAGTACATCATGCCAACCGTATTATAACAATAACAATAATAGTGATGAGTACCTATACTAAAGTTGAGATAATAATAATATAATATAAAATATTACATAGAGTGATTTGTATTTTGTTTTTATTGTTATCGGTCGCGCTTTAAAAAAAAAAATCAATAAAAAATCGATAGGGCGTATCCGTTGGGTGACAGTTGCAGTTGTGTCGTTTGCAATAAATAATAATAATAATATTATATAATAATACAATTTTTGCCTTGGAGCTGCCGACTAAACGGTTGTTTGACTGTCGGTGGACGGCGGTATACAACACACGGTCTTTAAGCGCTAAACACAACATAAGGGTCCGGGGCGGTACCGCGGTGCCGCAGAGGAGGAAATATATTATTATATTGTTATAATATATCATATGGGAGGAACGGCGTACTGTTGTTGTTATTTTTGTTATGCAAATCGGGACAAATTTAAATAACCCTATCTCTCATTAAAACGCCTGTGTGTAAGTCTAAACATCCAGCGGGATAGGTTGGATAAGGCGACCGGCGTTTCATTGACTTTACGGTCCTCTTCATTGCCCGCACAATGGCTCTTTTGTTGCCGACACACTGTAATAATAATAATATAATATATACTATGTTTTATTGTATGTACAGAGATAATATTATATAATACCTACGACTGCTCCGGTAAAGTCTGCCGGAAAATCAAAAACTCGCCCTGCACGTTGTTCAGGCACAGACATTATAGCTGGTGTACGCTGTGTAATTTCTGATATATGGTGTGATGTGTTTTTAAAGTTTCTACGTTACGGTCGATGAGTACATTCGTACTATATTATACCTATTAAATCTTACCGGATAATGTCGTTGATGAAAATACATAAAACA